GAGAGAGAGAGAGAGAGAGAGAGAGAGAGAGAGAGAGAGAGAGAGAGAGAGAGAGAGAGAGAGAGAGAGAGAGAGAGAGAGAGAGATGATCATGTGGGTTGACTATGCAAACTCCAGAAAGGTAGCTATGGTTCTCCAAGGCTTGAGAGGAAAATTGTGACACCAGAGCTTCTACCCTTTGACCCGAATAGAACGCCCGGTCATTTTAGCTTAGCTGTATTTAGGCCAACTTTCAGGCCAGATGCAGGGGTAATGTGACCAGACATTCTATTGGGTGAAGACGGTACTGGTTCTACCCTTGTTGTCATGCAACCGTAACCCTACTAATATGGACATTTTCCATCTGGAGTGGCTATGGTTCTTTCATACTCAATAAAGAGAAAGAATGTGAAGGGTTTGCACGGGACTTGATTTGCTGATGGGGCCGAAGAACTGGATGCTACTCCCTTCAAGACGAGGAGCAGTCATAGCATGAAAAGGCTATGTTTACCCCCTACCTGAAAAGGGCGGGGAGGGGGGTGCCGAGGGGGGGCGGGGGGTTGAGCGGAGGAGAGGAGGAGAGGAGGAGGGGACACATGGATAAGGATAAGATAAGACAAAACAGATCATTAAGATGGTTGCAGTCTAGCATATTGTAACTGGCAAACAAAAGTATATAATATATATGTAAAAAAAAAAAAGATTCAAAATTTTATATGCTTACGCTTCCCCACTGCCTATGAGCTGAGCGTGATCAGGCAGGCACATGTGATTACGAGGAGAAATGTTCAGTTGGCTCAATCAATCAATCAATTCATCTTCAATGTCTCTTTCATAATATCGCATAGACTTCCAAAACAAAAAAACAAAAAAGCAAAGCACTCAAACAAAAACAGAAAAAATCAAATAAAAAGTTCCGTAGTTTCAATTGAAAAAAAAACAACAACAACAACAACAACAACAACAACAACAACAACAACAACAACAACAACAGATAAGAACGATTACAAATTCAAAAAAATGTTTAAAAATAAGAAAAGAACGCATACTACACTCTTTCTACGCTGAGGGGAATACGTGTCCAGAAGAGGAGTCTTGCATGGGGATTCGCTGTCTATCTTTACTGATAGCAAACTCTACTACAGTACAGTCCCTACTCGCACAATGACGGCTGGCCATGCTTGTATGTGACCCCAATTCCGTCCAGGAGCTGGATCAAAAAGGTGTCCCAGATTGAGTATGCCCTGAGGAAACCTCAAGGTGTTGGCAAATCATATCCAATCTTTTTTTTTTTTTTGTTATGGCAGTTTTCCCTGCTTCATGACCGTCGGAATTGCTGTCAGATACAACGCACCTGATCATTCAAACTTATAAGAGAAACACACCCTCTCTTTGCTACCGCTTTCCTTCCCCGAATGCAACCAACGCACCCTGCCTCAGCTCCGGCGGAATTGCAGTCAGATCCAATGCACCCTGATCATTCAAGCTTGTATAAGAAAAACACATCCTCTCTTTACTACCGTTTCCCTTCCCCGAATACAACACACCCTGATCATGAATGTCTAAGAGACCTCTCTTTTTTTTTTTACCTGTCCATCGCAGTAGTCACGACTGTCACGGTGAGGGTGGGTTGTGTTCGGGGGAAGACGGTAGCACGGGTTGAATCGCGTAAAATCAACTAAAATTTCTAAAAACCGAAAGAAGAAAAGAAGATTCAAAAAAAGAAGTAGAGAGTTACAAACTTAGGAAGCACTTTTTAATAGTTTTTAATAGTTTTTAATAGTTTTTAATAGTTTTTAATAACTTTAATCCAGTTTTTAACTTTTTAGTATTTACTACTTTTTAATAGTGTTTTTTTTTTTTTTTTTTTTTTTAAACCTCTTTTCTAGTCTACTCACTCACTCTATTGAAAGTGCCATAACATCACATCACCCAAGCCATGTTTCCGCCCCGTGATCACCGCTAGCTCCCACCGCTCCTCTGATTGACACCTTCTCAGAGGCCCACTTCATTGCAACTCGCTCGAAAGATGTCGTGTCGTCCCCCTTGCCTCCGCCAGCCCTTCCGAGTCTCCTCTTCTGCTGCTGCTCCTTTACTGATGTGAATAGCTTCTTTATCAGCTCACACTGGGGTAAAATGAACCGATCCAGGTGGTCATGAGCATGCTTGATGGTGATGTCGATCAGCACCTGAGCCCTGTGTCCAGAAGCCACCAGGAAACCCACGACGCAAAGAGGCAACACAGATTTCAGTGCTCTTGTCAGTCTCAGCTTCTCAGCGTCGTACCCTGCAAGCAATTGAACAACCCCACACCTGCCACCTACTCCATAGGCACGGGCAATGTTGATTACATCGATTCATTTTCCTCCTCCTCTCCTCCTCCTCTCCTCCTCCTCCTCCTCCTCCTCCTCCTCCTCCTGCTGCCGCTGCTGCTGCTGCTGTGTTCTTCCCCTTCCTTGCCCTAGTGTGTGTGTGTGTGTGTGTGTGTGTGTGTGTTTTTTATAATAAGAAAAAATATTTCATTAATAGATTGAAATTTGAGGCCGGGGACCTCACAGTTCAACCCGGAGTTATCCTGGGCGCATTAGCCAGTTTTGGTTACGATATGACCAGAAAACTGAGAAAAGACAATTTTGAATTTTCCAAAGACTCGAGACTTACCGACTTAGCATAGCATACGAGCGAATGTCTGCCACAAACTGCCCTCATCCTTCCTAATCCTTAAGGGGTCTTCTCTATTACTTCCTGTACTCCTCTCAGCTATTCTTGAAGCTCTAGAGTGACGACGCCATCCCTGATCGGGGGGCTCTATCTCCTCGACGAACAACCTTTTATTTTTTTTTTGTGGGTAAACGCTATCCTGTTGCTTTGTTACCAGTAAGTACTTGCTAAAGTCGTGCCCGATAACAAGCCACAAATTAAGGAAACGTACGGGGCACTACAGGAGTGCCCAAATTCATCCGACTAGAAACGTTTCTAGTCTATTTTATTTTCCCACGGCCGATAGTTGGGCCGAGTACTGGTGGTTTAAACCCTAAACCCTCCGTCGTCGTCCGTCACCAAAAGGCCTTCAGGCCAAGGCGAGCCTCTCTTGGATCACGGGAAGTTGAAGGGGGGTGGTTGCCGTGTCATCGTATATGTTCCTGGCGGCCCCGCTGATCCCCCCATGCAGGTCTGAGGGTGTCCCCCATTATGGTCCCCAGCTTGCCGCTGCCCAGCACATCCTTGGTGAATTTGTCAACGATCCTGTTTTTTCTTGGTGGGGTCATCTTTGACATGCTTTCTTGGTCTGCGCCAGTCCGACTGGTACTCTGGTAGCGGAGTCTGGATTAGGTCTGCCCATGCTTCAGCCAGCCAGCGGCGTTGTTTGTGCGGCAATTGTCTGCTTGCACCGTGTGCTTCCAGATTGCCCACAGTGTTCGAGGGCGGAGTCTTCGGTAATGTGTGTGTGTGTGTGTGTTGCCACTCCTCCTGCACGTGTGGTTCTTTGCGGCCGGTGAGCGTTGATGCCAGGTTGTCTGGCAAGGGGATGGATGTAGCCGCATCCCAAAGGTTGGGCCCGATCTGGTCCAGAGTTGAACTGCGGAAAGGAATTTTTTATAGTCATTGCTGAAAACCAGGCTCATCATTGCACAATTTTTTTTTTTTTCCTCACTCAACGATGCACCTCTTCTGTGGCCAAGGGACAGAAGGATATGTTGGTATCGTTTTACCCTGCTCCACCGCTGTACGGTTCTAGTATCTACCCGTTGCTGCTCACTGGGTGTCCCCGATCCTCTGCCTCCATACTGCTCCTCTCAGCCTTACCTGGCTTCCTGGTTTGTCCCTGACCAGAACTGCTGCCCTGTGGCCTACTGCTGCTCATCACACCGCCTCTGCTGCTTGTCTTGTTGTTTGGCTGCCTTGTGCCTTGCTGCTTCTGTGCCTCACTGTCATGCTGCCTTGCTCTGCCTCACTCACTACCTTGTGCTTTGCTGCCTTGTTGCCTCTCTGCCTTGTTGCCAGCTGCTCATGGTGCCGCCTTGCTCCTCGTCGTGCCGCCCTGCTTGCCTTCTCATTCGACTGCCTCGTTGCCTTGCTGCCTTGTGGCCTCGCTGCCCTGTCACCTTGTCGCATCACTGCTTTCTAGCCTTGCTGCTTGGTTATTCGCTGCTCATTTGGTAGCACTGCCGCCTAATTTGTTGATGAGCTGCCTTGTCGATGCTGTCTCATTGCCTTGTTACCTCACTGCCTCGCTGCCTTGTTGCGTTGTTGCCTGCTGCTCACAATCCTGGCCCGCTGCTTACCTTGTCGTATTTATTTCTTCCTTCTTCTTTTATTTATGGCTCGATGTAGGAGCAGCAAGCCGTCAAAAATTGACGTAAACTGCTTTGTGTGACCAGCCCACGGTATTAGTACTGTATTTTCTCTTCTGTCTAAGCCAAGGCCTTTAAGGTGTGCTAAATAGTGTTACATACTTCGATGAGTATGGGCAGAACCAAAGATCAACCAATATAGGATGAGCATTTATGCAGCGGAAGTCTGATAACGAACTGACTCACATAGACTGACTTACATGGCATCACTCCACACACATACAATCATGAGATGGTGGGGTCTGGGTCATTCATAGACGATACCCAGATCCCGTACACACATACACAGATGAAAGGTGGGAGGAGAGACGAAGGAGGTAGGAGGTAGATCACACCGATAGGTCACAAGGTAGAGTCTGGTAGGTGTCCGAAATGGTAGTCCAAAATGTCATATAACAAGATCAAAATGTCGAGGACCAAAGGTCACCAATGTCGGAGATAACCGAGTCCAGATGTAACCGGTGTCCAACTATGATGCAGCCGAGTATCAACCTCAACAATCTCCAAGTCTCCAATCAGGTAAGTACCACAGTCTCGTATCACCGAAATCCAACCCTGATCTCTGTCCAACTGGATAGTCTCCAATCTGAAGAAGAA